ATGCAGGTGTATGTGCAGGCAGAACACTGCATACATAATAAATAAATAAATCTCATAAAAAAATAAAATATCGAAGCTATCTTTTGTGTGTGCACGCATGTATAGGTCAGAGGGCAGCCTCCAGCATTGTCCCTCAGAGGAACTTAGAATGAATGCTTCGACTCTTTAATACAGCTCCTCCTGTTGTGGTGACCCCCCAACCATAAAATGATTCTCATTGCTACTTCATAACTAATTCTGCTGTTATGAATCATACTGTAAATATCTGCTATGCAGAGTACCTGATATGCCACACCCAGAGGTCCTGAGACCCACAGCTGAGAAGCTCTGCTCTAAATACACCTTTCTGCAGAGCTGTTTCTAGACTAGACATCAGCAGGCTGCGTCTCACTGGCCGATAGAGAACTCGCTTCTCTCTTGTTTCATGCATTTTCTTGACTTCCCTTCTTATTCCCTAAAAACCTTCATTACATTAAGTTACGGCGTGTGCAGGACAGGGGTCTCTCCAGCATGCAGGGTCCAGGGACCCACTCAGGTAGGAGCCAGGCTTAGCAGCAAGCGCCTTTCCCTGCCGAGCCATCTCACGGCCCTTTCTTTCTCTTACTCGCCTCCTGCCTCCAGCATGCCTATTCCGTGTTATTCCTTACTTTATTAATCCTCATCTGGAGTTGTGAGGGTCACCAACGAAAAACAGGAAGTCAGTTACTGAATTGCAGGTTTTTAGACACATGTCCCTGCAATACTTAATATGGACTTCCATTTTAAGAAGTTATTTTTTTTCTTTTTTAAAGAAAGATTTATTTATGTATTATGTATTCAGTGTTCTGCCTGCACATACACCTGCATGCCAGAAGAGGGCACTAGCTCTCACTGTAGACAGTTGTGAGCCACCATGTGGTCGCTGGGAATTGAACTCAGGACCTCTGCAAGAGCAGCCAGTACTCTTAACCTCTGAGCCATCTCTCCAGTCCCAAGAAATTATTTTCTGAAGTTCAAGTTCGTGAAAGTCTGGTATCTTCTCCAGCAACCCTGCCACAGTGTTTGTGTCGAGGATTGTATCTGCTTGGCTAGTCTTGGAAGCAAACCCAAGTGTGATTACCACATTCTGTCACAGTGGCTCACACAGATCTCCTGGTCTTGCAGCCCCCTAACACACTTTCAGCCTGTGAATTCTAAGTTGACAAACGATGGACAAGATTTCAGATAGGGGCTGGGCTCGGTAGTGCACGCCTTTAATCCCAGCATTCAGGAGGCAGAGGCAGGTAGATCTCTGTGAGTTCAAGGCCAGCCTAGCCTACAAAGTGAGTTCCAGGACAGCCAGGGCTGTTACACAGAGAAACCCTATCTCAAACAAAAAGATATCAGATAGGGACCCCACTTAGTTACAAGACTATTACTTGGAAAGATGCTGATACAGCATATTCCTCCTCTCAATTCCTGCTTTAAAATAAGCTATTGAGAACTGGACACAGTGACAGGTTAGTCTCAGATATTTGGGAAACCAAGGCAGGGGTATTGCCTAAGTATAGAAGTTCTAGGCCAGCCTGGGCAACCTAGCAAGATCTTCCACTTTATTCCAATTATCAACCGAGGGAAAGCTGTGAATGTGGTAGAGCCCCTGCACTCATTTGTCAATGCAAACGAGAGCAAAGGAATAGAGAGGGGTTTGGGAAATATGGAAATTGCACTTTGATTGCAAATACAGGTCTTGCTATGTAGCCCAGGCTGGCCTTAGGCTTGTGATCCTGCTGTGTCTCCCTCCTGGATGCTGGGATCCCAGGCTTGTGACACCATACTGGGCCCACTGTTCTTAAAGTATATCCCACCCCCTAAATACCCTCTTCCATTTCCTGCTGCAGAGGTAACACCCATTCGAAGCTTCAGTGTTGTTTTGTTTTCTTGTTTTTTGAGACAGGATTTCTCTGTGTAGCCCTGGCTGTCCTGGACTCATTTTGTAGACCAGACTGGCCTTGAACTCATGAAGATCCACCTGCCTCTGCCTCTGCCTCCTGCTGGGATGAAAGTCATGCACCACCAATGCCCAACTCACAGCTTCAGTGTTTATGCAACTAAAAAAACCCTGTACACCCAAAGCACAGATTTATTTGTTTATTCATTGATTGAGACTGGGTCTTGTTACATAGCACTGCCTAGCATGGAACCTGCTATCCCTGTCTCAGCCTCCAGAATGCTAGGGTGCCCAGCATATGCCACCAGGACCATCAGAGACAACGGCTTCTGAAGCAACTCCCTAACATGTTCTCAGACAAGTGCTTTCAGTCAGTCAAGTGGACAGAGCAAAAAGCAATCTATGTCTGGTTCCATTGTTTTACAGACAGTGCTCCCTAGGCCACTGTGGCAGGGTGACATGGTAAGCAGCTATAACGGGTACTTACATTCCTGCGAAAAGGACAGATACACCTCAGGTAATTGCAAGGGAAGATAAGGGCTCTGTTTCCGAGTAATTGGGTTTTAGAAACATGTAGTTTCTCTTCCACAATGTTCTAAGTTGGTGGATCACGTAGTACATCTGGGCCCTTAAAGTGGTACTTTCTCCTTTCCTTCCCCTAAGTTTCTCTTACAGAGCCAAAACACTTCTAAATCTACTTTTGTTTTGCCTTACTGAGACAGGGCCTCACTCTGTAGCTCTGGCTGGCTTGGAACTCAGGTCCGCCTGCCTCTGCCTCATGAGGCCTGGGGATCACAGGTGTGCGCCACCAGGCCTGGCACATTTCTAAACTTGAGTATGGCATGTATGTACTGAGGTTTTTGTTTTGGTTTGTTTTTTTTTTTTTTTTTTTTAAGATTTTATTTATCTGTTTTATGTATGAGTGCTCTATCTGCATGCTAGGAGAGGGTATCAGATCCCAGTATAGATGGCTGTGAGCCATCGTGTGGGTGCTGGGACTTGAACTCAGACCTCCAGAGGAGCAGACAATGCTCTTATCCGCTGAGCCATCTCCAGCCCCTGGGATGTACTGAGTTTTTATGAAATGCTCTGATCTAAACTACAGTGCCCTGCAGAAGAAATATTTGACTGGAAATCCAAGAAAATGGTTGAAAGGTCTCCATGAACCAGCTGTGGGAAGTGATGTCATCTTTCTGCAACTGCTGCTCATTTCTAAAACCCAACTACTGACTTTTGGAGTCTGTTTTTTTGTTTTGTTTTGTTGTGGCAGAATTTCTGTGTAGCCTTGGCTGTACTGGACTCTTTGTAGCCCAGGCTGGCCTTGAACTCACAGAGATCCACCTGCCTCTGCCTCCCTGAGGGCTGGGATTACAGGCGTATGCCCCTGTGCCTGGTGACTTTTGGAGTCTGTATTAGTCTGTGCTAAAACACTGACCAACATCAAGATGGGAAAAGGGTTAATTTGACTTCCGTGGACTGGATCTCAGTCCACTGAGACGCTGTGGAGAGAACTCCAGGCAGGAACCTGAAGGCAGCGGTGAGACAGAAGGCCGCGGGGCACTGCTTACCCATCTGCTCCTTGTGGCTTGCCTGTCCTTTTGATGACTGTTTTATTTTATGTGTAGATGTCCGACCTGTATGTGTGTCTGTGCACCATGGGTGTGCCATGCCTTCAGTCCTGAAGAGAGCACCGATCTCCTGGAACTGGCACTACAGACGGTTGTTAGCTGCCCTGTGGGTGCTGTGAATAGAACCTAGGTCTTCTGCAAGAGTGGCAAGTGCTCTAACTGCTGAGCCATTGTTTCAGCTCCCTCAGCGCCCTTTCTTTTACAAACCAGGGCCACAGAGGGGGCACCGCCCGCAGTGGGCTGGGTCCTCGGACTTGCCCGCAGGCCGATATGATGGAGATAATTATTCTTTCTAAATGACTCAAGCTGTGTCAAGGACTTCCGGCACCTGCCATCTGGGTGCTCCTCCTCAGGGACTGGCAGTACACTTGTAGATGAGCTTTAAAGATGTTTTTCCTTTCAAAGATTTCTTTTCTTATAACTAGAACAGAATAATTCCTTTAAAGATAAGCCAGGTTCAGTGTCATAGGCTCCAGATACTTGAGCAGCGAAAGCAGAAGTGATCCGAAGTTTAAGGCTTGTCTATACTACGGTACATTCTTTAATGTGCCTGGTTAACTCAGTGAGACCCTGTCTCAAAATGAAATGTAAAAACAGGGCTTAGAGTACAGTCTGGACAGCGAGTAGTGCAAATATATTGTTCAGGGATTTAGAAAACCAGACCCTCAGCATCTTCTGGGGCTTTCCAGTTACAATCACTTCAAAGCCTACTTTAAAAATGATTTATTTTTACATTTCCTTTAGTTTGTGTGTGTGCACCTGCAAACATGGGTGCGCTGAGGGGGGTTACACGCTTTCATGGAGGTCAGAAGACAACCTGTGCATTCAATTCCTCCTTCCACCCTGTGTTTTGGTCCTAGGGATCAAACTCACATCACCAGGCTTGGTAGCAAGTGCCTTATATGCTCAGCCATCTTCCCAGCTCAGCTTTTCTTTTCTTTTTTTCTTCTTCCTGCAGAAAGCCAGTTTTTTATTTCTAAAATTTTATCAAAAACATTCACAAAAGAATCATCTTGGAAAGGTTTGTAATTACAAACAAAGAAGAAACACTCAGTAAGCCTGGAAGGTCAAGTCAGAAGGTCAGCTGTTCTGAGAAGCAGCTTCTGCCCAGCTACGTGGGAAGCTGGCCGGGCAGGGAGACACAAGTACCAAGATTCTGCGCTGAGACCCACTGTTCCAGATAAACCTCCAGAAACAAGAAGTCAGTCTGTTTCGAGGCTCAGGCTGTAGGGCGCTCAGCTGGTAGAACACTTGCCTTGCACACAGGAAGCCCACATCCATCTCCTCCCTGCACACAGCAGGCAGTGGCCCCGCCCCCCACGCCCGTAATCTCAGCACTGGGGGGAGGGGGGCGGAGGCAGGAGGGGCAACAAAACAAGAACGCATCTCATAAACAAAACCAAATCCTAAAAACCAAAGCTAAAAACCAATCCGATGCTGCACGCCAACTAACCCAAACAGTGTCACAAAACATCTTTTTATTTCCAGGACAGAGGTCATGCCCCAAATCAGCACAGATATAAGAGCCCTGCTACTGGCCAGGACCGCAGCCAGGACAAACTCAGCCAGCGGTAGGCGCCTTTGCCTCTCTCTGGAGGCACAGCCACGTGGTCGGCACTTCGCAGGAGGACCTCTGCACCAGGTCTGCATCATAAGGGATGTGCCAGGAGTCTCCGGTCGTCTGCACCACAGTGTCATAGCTGAGGGTATGCTGGCGAGGTAAAGACAGCCACATGGTGAGGGCAGTGAAGGCCTACTGACCCCTCTCCCCAAGCTTTTCTACTTCTTTGGAAGAGTATTGTGTTTTGATACTGATTTCCTTCCTTCCTTCCTCTGTGTATCTGTGGTGTCCGCACATGTATGTAACCAATGCACATGCCTGTGCATGCACAGAGCTGGAGGCAGACACTGGGCCCTCTTCTGTCACTTTCCACACATTCCTTTGAAGCAGGGGCCATACCTGGAGCTTCTGTTTTGTTTTGTTTTGTTTTGTTTTTCTCCTCACCTGGCAGCTAGCAAACCCCAGCAATCTTCCTGTCTTGACTCCACAGCGCTGAGGCTATAGATGTGTGCAAGGACACACTGAGCTAGCTATGTGGGCACAAGGATCTGAACTCAGCAAGCACTAACCATTGATCCATCTCTCCCGCCCCCATGACAGCAAGCAAAATAAAAAAAATGTGAGAGGTAGTTTCATTTTCAGGTTAAGGTCTCACTACAGGAGTCTTTCATTGTATTTATTAGTTTTATAAGTGGAAGAGAGAAAAAATAAATACAGAAAGTAGAAAAATAGCCCTCTCCCAAGAGTATTGTGAAGTGAATCTCAGATGTTTACTTCTAAAAAATGGCATTTATTTTGTAATTCGAAGATCAATGCCAGTACTACCCTTTCTCCAGCTTGACTGCTGTCTAACTGACGCCTGATGTACTGGAGCAGCATCTTTTCTCCCCATCCCCCTGTGTAGGCTGCTGTATTTCCCTGTACTGATTCTCCTGTCCTTGTTTTAATAGGAGAGGCATCCCTGTGCTGTGCTGTCTACACTAGAACCAAAGGTGAATCCAGTAGAGACGGACACAGAACACATTACACAGGAAAAGCGAGCTGGGCAGGTACACCTGCAGTCCGGCTTAGACAGCTGAGACAGGGCAGCTGACATAGGTTTCAGGCCAGCCTGGTTTACACAGTAGTGAGCCAGGGCTACAGAACAGTCCATGAGCAAGAGTGCCTGGAAAGAGGCTCTGACTACAAAAGCTAACCCAGATTCAACGATGTGGAAAGGCTGGACTGTTACAAGCCCAGTGCCAGAATCTCTATCTTTCAAGATGGCCCTGTTAATCACTCTTCTTCACCTCTTAATCACTGTTCTCTGAATGTTACTTAATATGTTTGTCACAAAATGTACAAACAAATCCCTAGTTTACATTTTCCAAAAGGTTAAAGAGGCCATTAGATAGCAGCTGAGGCCTATAACCGAGGTGCCCCTGCTTTCTGTAACCTAATGTTTCTACTGAATTATTTGAAAAGTGTCTTAATTTTCTTTGTTCTGTTAGAATAAAACTTGATAAAACTGGTACCACATTAAAAACAAAATGCAAGATCACTAAGTCTGTGTTCTTGGGCCATCGTCATTTGTATTTGGCCCACAAATAAACTATGTCTTTATTCTCTCTGAGGTGAAAGTTGTGTTTTTGTGTCAATGAGGCCTTCCTCTAAGTGAAATAAAACAGGGCTTGAGAGGATGGTTTATGGGATTAAAGTGCAGATGCCCCCGGTAGAAGAAGAACTCATTCCTGCAAGCCATCTTCGGACAGCTGCACACAAGCCATGGCACAATACAGATACACACAATTACAAACACAAATGTAATTTAAATTAAAAAACAGGAAAAGGTGCTTAAAAGGACAAGTATTACAGCATAAGAAATTTTGAGCTATTTCCAGGAAACAGGTAAATGGAAAGGCATGAACGTAGGTAAAGGCACCGTTTCATGCACAATCACAACAGCCCAGATGTTTCAATATGTCAATCAATTAAGGATTGGCCTATGAATACTTTCGCCCTGACAAAGGCTGTTTCTAGATAGGAACTGGCTAACTACCAAATGCCAAACTATAACAAAACCAAAGTATTTAGAATTTCAAATGTTGACATTTTAAAAACGATGCCACACTTTCTTTAGACATGACTCTATTAGCATCACTTAGAGAACAGCCCCATACCTGGAACGTTAATTTTGATCTTAGAAACCCTTTCGTGATTGCCAGCTGGTGTCCCTGCTGCCACTTAAAGAAGAGGCGCTGGGTCCGGGCATCAGGCAGGCAGGCCTTGTGGTCCCGCAGCAGATCTTTCGTGATGAACTTGCAGTGATTGCCTGAGTTCAGCGTGGCATACAGAAGGAAGGGGTCATCTTCCGAGCTGCAGCGGGCGGGAGGAAGAACAGGTCAGAAGCTGCAGGAGCAGAGAGCCACTTCCCACCATCCTCATACTATACTCTGACTTTCCTTGCAGGCACCTCTGACTCCCTGACAGGCAGGAACTGAGGGACCCTCCCAGAGCACTTGGAGTCCCTAGTCGGTGATGCTATCTAAAAGGCAATAGAAAGCTGAGGGGAAGGGACTGTTAATGCTCAGGACATAAAACTTTCAGGCTAGCTTGGGCCACACTTGTGACCCTCTCAAAAAAAACCAAGAGTACAGGCCAAAGCAGGCAGCAAGGGCACCTCCGTCGAGACTTCTAGGCTATAGCACATGCCTCGTTCCATTCCTTTCTATAGGAAATATCAATGGACATACAGGCTCTGCACAAGCCTGGTGCCGGATTCCATGTGTTGTAACTGTTCTCTCATTTACCCTTCACAACAACCTTGTGATGATCACACATGAAGTCGATGCCTTTCCAGGTGGGAAAGGACAGGCCCACACCCTGAAACAAGCCTAACTCCTGGTGCACACCAACATCGCGTCGTGACACTACGAGGATCAGTTTTTACTTGTGAAGCAATGGAAATGCCCCCTCTCAGCTTAGAAAAGCGATTTGGCTGTGATCTGAATGAGGACTTGACCTTCATGCATCAAGAGCCATTTTACTTTTTTCTTTCTTTCTTTTTTTTTTTTTAATTTTTTATTAATTACACTTTATTCATTTTGTATCCCCCCATAAGCCCCTTCCTCCTCCCCTCCCGATCCCACCCTCCCTCCCCTAGCCATTTTACTTTTTTAAGAATAAATTCTTTGTGGGGTCCCAAAAACCCCTGAGGTTCTCACTTCTGAACCAAGGAGCCCTGAGCCTGGGGTACGGCACACACTAGGCAAGGCTGGAAATAAACGTGCACCAGGGCAAGTGTGAAAACCCGTGAGTACACTGAGGGCGCACATGCGTGCTCCGGGTCTCCACCTTCCGCTCAGCTGCTTTCTGTTCCTGAACTGCATATTGTGTTACAAACCTGCTTCCCATGATCCTTCGGCTTCCTGGGACGCTGTAGCTTAACAGCAATTTTCTCTGTATTAGAATGAGTCCAGGCCCTTTGTGAGGGCCTCTGTAATATGGTCCTTCCTTCTCTCTGACTTCAAAACTTCTTCTCCATTCCTTTCCTTTCCCTTTGGCTCCTCTCCCGTCTTCTTTCTTTCCCTTCCCCCTTTGTAGACAGAGCCCCATAGAGTCTCATGTACCCCAGGATGGCCTCCGTCTAACAGAGAATGACATTGAACTTGAATGGTCTTCCTGTTTCTGCCACACAGGGCTAAGACTATGGACTGGGATACAGCTAGTTTTATGTGGGGCTGGGGATGGATGGACCTCAGAGCTTCCAGAAGGCCAGGCAGTTTTCACTGACTGAACGGCATCCTCAAAAGGCTACCTCCCCGGGGGCTCTTCTAGCCCACCTATGCTGGCCTTCTCACTTTTGTTTACCTAGGTCCATCTAACCCCTGTGCCAGGACCTTTGAATCTCTGCTGCCCTGTACGAGGGAGGAACACTGTGAGGTGGGGAATCTTTCCCACAGCACGGACGTCTGGTCACGAGGAGGCCGCCTGCTGACTTGTTCTGTCGCGGTCACTAAGAACCAACACTGTGCTCACATTTGCTGGGTGTCCGCTCAGTGATCAGGTCAGGAGTTTATGGTATGTTCTAAGTGCCAGCCTCACTCCTGGCCTGCTGCACTCCTTTTCCCATCCATGCTGACTTCCTCCTATTCTCTGGCACTCTCTGGCAGCCACCGTGTTTTTGTAAGCTCCCTCCAGGCTAATTTGCTCTGAGTGAGGCTGCGTCCACAGGGCATGCATTTCTAAATGCCCAGTAGGTAGATGACCGGAACATACTCTCGTTCGCGTGCTCCCGCCAATACTTACATGTTATCAGCAAAAAAACAGTGGGCTTGCCTCCGCACCTGTTCCATCTCATCCCTTCTCCACTGGGAACTCGGTCTTAGCATGTGCTTCCGGCCCAGGACTAGCAATTGTAGATTTTGTTGGGCTAGTTGAGAAACTACACTCAGGAGCTAAGAAACACAAAGAGTCAAACAAAAAAATGTTCAAATAGCAGGTAAGTTCTTCTAGCTCGTTACTTCAGTGGGAGGAGGACGGCTCTTAACGATTTTCCATCCTTCAAAGCCTGAGGAACAGTATAAACAATGCCTTCTTTGTTGCTGTTTGTTGGTTTAACAGCGGCTCTCAAGCAGTACGGGCTGGCTCCTAGCTACCAAGTCAAGGTTGACCTTGAACTTGTGGCCCTCACACCTCCACTCACTGACCTGGGATTATAGGCATTTGCCACCATGGCCAGTTTATGAAGGAATGCCCAACCCCTGCTGAGGTCAGGCTATCCTGGTTCAGGTGTGGTTTTCTAAAGACAAACTATTCAGCTTAATTTGGTTAGAGCATCCTGAGACGGTGATGTGGCAGGAAGCAGCTACTCAATTTTGAAGCAAAAAACAACAACAAAACCCAACTCTCTATATATATACATATATATATATATATATATATATATATATATATATATATATATATAGTTTGTTTGTTTTTTTTTTTTTTTTGAGACAGGGTTTCTCTGTGTAGCCTTGGCTATCCTCACTTTGTACAGTAGGCTGGCCTTGAACTCCCAGAAGTCCACCTGCCTCTGCCTTCTGAGTCCTGGGATTGCAAGTGTATGCTACCACGCCCAGCTGTGGGGATTTGCCACAGCACAGCCTGGAGGTCAGAAGCCAGCCTAAAATACCAATGCTCTGGAGGCTGAGGCAGGAGAATCACTAGTTTGAGGTCAGCCTGAGCTAAATGGCAAGATCCTGTGTAAAAAAAAAATCTGCCAAACAGAAGAAAACCAGAAAGGATGGATGGGGCAACATTCCCACATAGCAGCAGAGCTCTCTGAACTCAACAGCTCCGTTCTGGTCTATGCTGTATATTGTTAAAGTCTGTGCTTACCCGGGGTTTCTGTTCATCCGTCTCTATTACTATAGATGATTTCATGAAGTAGTTGGGTTTAGTGCTCCCTAACCACCAATTCTAGAATGAAAACAAATGGATACTTGTCCACTGAGTTAATATACAAGCAAAGGAGAACGCCAGAGTCAGAGTGGAGATCCCTACTGAAAGTTGGTAATTGGTAAGGTGCAGCCTTTCATAGGTCACCAGGATGACTTAGCAGGTAACGGTACTCGCTGTAAAGCCTGGCGGCCCCAGGTCGGCCCCCGACCGCACACAGTGGTGGAAGGAGAGGGAATACCGCACAAAGCTGCCAAATCCCATGCCAGTAATAGCAATAATTCCTTAAAAATTGTTTCAAGTATAGGTTGTTGCTTCAAAATCATGGTAGTGACTTCTGTGCTCACTCGGTAGCCATTTCCCAGCATTCTCTATGTGGAGAGCATGCGGGCGTTACCTAGTGCACAAAAGCTTAAAGGCACACACACTGTTTCCAGTGATAGTTTTTCTTATTTGCCTGTCAAGCCTCGGAAAACAAAAATTCTCACTGTACAGAGAGCTGTTGGTTAATAAACAAGTTCTGACTGGCTGAAGAAGACGCCCAGCATCAGGAACCGGCATGTCAGTCCACGCCTGCAGCACTCAGGACTGAGGCAGTTCAAGTTCAGACCGGACTATGTGAGTTTTGGGCCAGCTTGGGCTACACAGAAAGATCCTATAGTACAAGACCACAGTGACAGGGATGATGATGACAAACAAAAAGCATGATTCGTGAACTCGAATACCTCAAAAGACAGTAAAAGTGCCTTTTTTCAGAATGCAGTCTCTCTCTCTGTATGTGTGCTGTGTGTTTGTGCTTGTCCACACGTGTGCGAGTATGTGAACCTACATGGTATTTTAGAGACAGAGTCTTTACTATGAAGCCCTTGCTGGCTTAGTACTTCCAACTTCAGCTGGGAATAAGAGTAAGAGTGCTGGAATTGTGTATTCTATACCATGCCTAGGGTGTTTACTTATGTATTCTGAGATGGGATCTTGATAAGTTATCTAGGTTGACCTTAAACTCACTATTTTCTTGATTCAACCTATCCAGTACCTGCAGGCATTGCAGGCATTCATCACTATGCTGGGCCGTATTTTACCTTTTTTACATATGTTTAGCGTGTGCATGTGAGAGAGAGGGAGAGACAGAGGGAAAGAGGGAGAGAGGGAGAGGGAGAGTCAGAGAGCACATCTGAGCTCCAGGGATTGAACTCAGGTCATCAGGCATGAGCGCCATCTTCTGGGTCCTCCATTTATTTAAAGCTTTGCTGAAATTACAGATTATTTTCTTTGAACATAGACTCAAAGTAGAAATCAGACCCATTAATAGGGATGACAATGACTTAAAATTTGCATAAGAAGACAGGCACTGATGGCATATACCTCTAATCCCAGCACTCAGGAGGCAGAGGCAGGTGGATCTCTGTGAGTCTGAGGCCAGCCTGGTCTACAAAGGGAGTCCATCAGCTAAGGCTGCACAGTGAAACCTTGTCTCAAAAACCCCCAAAACTCCCAAAACATTGCATAAGAAGTACCACAGAGTTATTGTAAAAATGTTAAGGTTCATGCTGAAGCCAAGGGTGGTCCTGCATACCTCTAATCCCCACCAGCCCACGAAGCTCAGTGAGAGCCTGTACGACCCAGGGCCAGGCTGCTTGGCATCTGGAGCTCCACGAGCCTGCCGTTCAGCCCTCAGCACCACCACCAAACACCACCCCACACTGTTTGGTTCTGGTTTTCAACTTCCCATGTGGCCGGGAGGGAAGACATGGTCTGAAAAAAAACACAACGGAGTCTTCACAGCCATGCCCTTCTCAGACAGTCCGCCCAAGCTCACTAAATTAGAAATGAATAAGGAAGAAGAGGAAAACACAGCTTCAATTACGCTGGGGCACCATCCTGTGTGGAGGGGTCTCTAAATTCATTTTATCATGTTTTACAAGATGCCTGGGTGGAGTAAAGGCACCCTGAAAACTGTCTGGCTGTGAAAAGCCCCCGCAGTAAACTGCAGGCTCAACTTAGTGGGCTGGCTCAAAGCCAGGGCAAACCCAGATCAGCCAAGAAGAGGAAAACTTAACAACTGTATGTTCGATCAAAACTAAAACTGAACCAAGTATAGTGGCATACATCTGTGATCCAAGTACTCACAAAGCTGAGGCACAAGCATGGCTAGTTTCGGGCCAGCCTGGGCTACACAGACAGACCTTGTCTCAAAACCAAACAAACCAAATCAACCTGGGCCTGGAGTTGCAGCTGTGTACAGACAGTACTTAACTACTATGCATAGCTGACACAGCTGTATGGAACAGCATCTTTAGGCTGTTATATAACTGACACAGCTGTATGGAACAGCATCTTCAGGCTGTTACATAGCTGACACAGCTGTATGGAACAGCATCTTCAGGCTGTTACATAGCTGACACAGCTGTATGGAACAGCATCTACAGGCTGTTAGATAGCTGACACAGCTGTATGGAACAGCATCTTCAGGCTGTGTTAGAATAGCTAGTGAGGGGAGGGGGCACTATGACAATACCCAAAACAACTGGGAGGAATGAGACTACAGTCACAGTGGCATGAAAGTAGAAGTGGGACTGTTTGGGGAGGAAAGGAAGCAGTGGGAGGTGCTGTAAAAAAGGAGGCGATTCCGGGGATGAATATGACACACAGATACAAAAATGTCATAAAGAAACCCAGAGTAGGGTGGGACAGCGAGAAGTTGAGGAAGGGGGCTACAGCCAGGATACAAAGTGAAGAAATTGTAATAAATAGTAATAATAAATGAAAAAAAGAAACGCATTATTTTGTACACTTACTTAAAAAAAAGGTGGTGAGGGCTGGAGAGGTTACATGGCGAGGCAGCTAAGAGTACTTGCTGCTTTTCCTGAGGACCTGGACTGGGCTCCAGCACCCGTGTCAGCCGGCTCAAGACACCCTGTAACTCCAGATCTAGGGGTCCAGTGCTTCCTTGCCTCCTCCTCCTCCTCTTCCTTCTAAGACAGGGCTTCTCTGTGTAGCCTTGGCTGTCCTAGACCGGATCTGTAGACCAGGTTGGCCTCAAACTCACAGAGATCTGCCTGCCTCTGCCTCCCTGAGTGCTGGGATTAAAGTCGTGTGCCCCCACGCCCGGCCCGATGTGATTTCTATAAATTGGTGGATGGATCAAGAAACCAGTTTGGGGGCTGGAGAGATGGCTCAGTGGTTGACAGTACTGACTGTTCCTCCAGAGGATTCGGGTTCAATTCCCACTACCCACACCGCAGCTCGCAATTGTCTGCAACTCCAGGATTGACACACTCATGCAGACATACATGCAGGCAAAACATCAATGCATGTAAAATAAAAAATAAATAATTAAAAAAGAAAAGAAACCAATTTGAATGCAAAATATTTCACTTTGCAGCTTGCCTGTATGTGTGTGTGTGTTTGCGTGCGTCTGTGTATTTCAAAGCATGGTGTTGATGGTGGAAAGGCCAGTTCACTCATCAGCAGTATTGGGCACTTCCTCGGTGAGTTCCTGGGTGTAAACTGTTGGGGATGCAGCTCCAGGGGCAGCTGTCTCTGACCTCACGGTGCTGCTAAGTGACCACCACCGTGTAACAGCCTCGAGGGAGCACAGGGAGGCTAGCTACCGTCACATTCAAGGAGAGCAGAGTGGTCAGGGTTATCTCCACAGAGCACAGCTGAGTTCCAGCTGAATAACCCAGACAAGGATGGGGGTTTCCAAGGAAGAGGAGCAGTATGCTCCAAAGACCATCATCCAGGAAATTCCAGGAAATAGAAGCACAGACTCAGCCAGGCAGAGGTCCGGGAGGATGACGTGGAGACTGCCTAAATGAGGGGGGATGAATGCACAGGTCTCAAACACAGGGCCTTTTCTTGCCTGGAAGCAGTGGAGGAGATGAAAGAATTTAAAACAGACTACCACTGTGGATGGCAAAATTCTGGACTGCAAGAAGACTACACCAGAACGGTGTGTGTGTGTGTGTGTGTGTGTGTGTGTGTGTGTGTGTGGTGCCCTTGGTGCTGAAAA